GCACCTGGCAGAGCTCGGACACGCCACAGCAGAGGCCCGTGATGCCACCAGCACCTGCTGTGGACTGGCCTCCGGCCTCACAGCGCCTGCAGGACATCTACCTGAGTCCCTCTGAAATGGGCTGGGCTACCACCAAGGTGCACAAGAGCCTAAGAGTGGGCCCCTCTGCAAGGGCCCCTCTGCAAGGCAGGGCAGGGCCTTGTGGGGCCCTCTGCAAGGCAGGGCAGGGTCCAGGAGGGCATAGCCAAAGGGACCCTTTTCCAAAGCCCATGAGCCCCTGGCATTCCTCGCAAGGGTTTTAATTTGGACACTTCTCTCTGTCCCTTCACAAGGTGTTCTAGAATCCCTAGGGCTGACGCTTCTCCTGCAGAGAGCAACTGTCAGCAGCCACAAGAATGTCCTCCAGCCGGTCACTTAAGAGGAGGGGGTCAGTCAATGGGCCTGGGCACAGTTCCTCCCAGGTGGGAGCTGCCCAGGTGACAGCCCAGTGGCTGCCAGGAATCAGCTTAGCAGACCACTACTTCGCAGCAGGGAAACGGCTGTGGCCAGGGTCCCCACAGTCAGAGCCTCAGCTGGCCACACAGGCCAGGGCTGGTTCCGGCTCTGTCACCGCTGGCTGCGTGGCCTCACACAAGTCTCCCCACCAGGTCAGAGCGGAGGCAAGTGGGTAAGAAGCAAAGGGTCTGCATCTCTGTCTTCCTGTCAGCTACGAACAGGCCAAGCCACATTCTGGAAAGCAAGGTGATCCCTAGGGTAGCCCGGAGACCCCTCCCCGCAGTAGCGTCTCTGTGAGGGGCCCCAGCCAAGATGCAAAAGCCCAAGACACATCACAAGGTACTTCTAGGAAAACCAAGGAAGTGGTCATTTAAGGATCCAGTCCCAACTGGTCACTCGTTTCCAAGCACCATCACCCCCACCGTAGGACACAGGGACATCCAGAACAGAGCGGCCAGCCAGGACAGGGGGGCGCCTGAGTGAGGAGTGCCGGACAACCCCTGCCATAGCAGTGAGCGCCGGGAGCCTGAAGCAGGGTCAGGCGAGCCGGTGGGAAGTCTGTGCACCCACTCCGCACAGCGGGCACGTGCTGTGCTACCCCCAGGAAGCCTGCCCATACCCTCCCAGGCCAACATGTCCTGGAGAGCTGGAGGAACGGCAAAGGACCAGCCTTCCTTCCAGTCTGTCCTGGGCCCCACATGGAGACCAAGAGCCGCACCAAGATTCCAGCTTGAGGGGCCATTGGGGGTGTTTGGACTGAGTATCCTGACCTGCCCCATTTGGGGGAGTGGACCAGCCTCTTCCAGGCTCTCTGGACACTCAGCAAGAATCAGCTGGAACCACCTCCTACCTTCTGGAAGGGTCTCAGAGGGCAGCAGTGGGAGAAGAGAAGGCATCAAGTGCCTGCCCTGTGCCGGGCACTCAGCTGTTCACCTCAACATCCCTACCAACTAGGACCCCATCCCTACACCAATGCAGAAGGGAGAGAAGGAGCAGCTCGAGATCATCCAGCTGGGGGGCAGGGAATTGCAAGGGTGGCTGCCTGTGCTCCTGCACCACACTGCTGCCTTGGGCATCTGGGAGCAGGGACAGGCAGCCTTGACGGGGTGTCCAGGATGGGTGGGTTCGCACCAGGAGAGCAGACTGGGCACAGGAAGGACGGGGCCCTGCTAGACCAGCTCCTGGGGACTCAGGGGGAGGCCAACCTCCTTTGCAGCCACACACAAATGCAAAGCATGAGGCCCTGCATCCCTCCCAGGCCTCAATGGCAGGCTGGGGGTGACTACTAGGGGGTGGGGGGAGGCCAGAATCTTCAATAAGCCAGCAGCACTTAGAACAAACCAGCTTGATGGGGATTTTGGGGAGACAGACTGATTTGGAACGCAGGACAGCTGACTCAGAAGGCTGGGAGGTGACACAGGTCTGGTGGAGCCGGCCAGCGCCCCAAGGCCACCGCAGCCTAATGCACCAGAGACATTTTGTTAGGAAGATTACAGACTAAAACGGGAGCACCAAAAATAATTAATCTGTGAGCAGATTTTATTTAAGTGTTGATTCATGGCTGTTCTATAAGCCAACAACCCGTCAGAACTATAAATTAACGAGATAAAATGTTGCTGGCCCTCCATATTTCAGGCTGGGTATTGACGTTTTCGAATCCACAGATTTTTAACTGTATTGATTGAGGACACCAGGATAAATGGCCTTGGCGCCAAATTCCCATTAACGACAATGGGCACCGAGTGACTAATTCCCAAAGCACTGCGGTGAGAACACCCTGCATTGCCTTCTCCTGGCAGGGAGTTCTAATTAGATTGAAATGAAAAAGCCAAATCACCAAGGGCGGAAAAAGGCAGATCAAGTGGAAAGAGAGCTCAGATTCTGTGATGAGAAAGGACAAGATAAGTCAAATCCGGCCAGCAGACCCAGGGGCTGCACAAGCTCACCCCAGCCTCTGCAAAAGAGACCCCCAGCTCAGCCCTGGCCAGGCAAGGGTGCAGGGATGAGGCAGGAAGCTGACGGGTTTCACTGCCCAGGAGGACCCGACCTCGGCTCTGTCTCATCTATACCCAGAGTTGCTCGGAGCCCACCCTGGCCCAGTGGCAGGGAAGCAGGCCCACTGGGACAGGCCCCCTCCCTCAAGGAGCGCCCACACTGGCCAAAGAGGACACAGAAACAAGCCCTGAGGACTTGTCTGGATGACTTCCCCGAGGGTGAGGTCTGCACCCTTTGAACACCCCTGTACATAGCAGGGCCCCGTACATAGCAGGTGCTCAGTCACTACCCACTGAGTACACAAAGGTCTTCCAACAGGGGCCAGGTATTGGGCACCAGCAGGGTATGGAACGGGAAAGCACCCCAACTGGGTGGCAAAGCCCTGCAGGCAGGAGTCACACCTTCCCTGTACCACCCAACACATCACAACTGGAGGCGTGGACTGGGCCAGGGTGCCAACTCGCAAGGTGTGTCACCTCCTCCCCCCACTGTCCACCCAGTCTCTGGTCACAACCAGCCAGAGAAGCTCCCAAGGAGATCTGCCCAAGGCCCAAATCAGCCATGATTCCCTCCTGTTCCAAAGCCAGCAGCAGCCACTGCCGCCCCCTGCCGAGGCAGTCTCTAGCTCTCCATCTAAAAATCTCAGAAACCCCTCCACGCATGCACAGAGGCACGGGTCTGTTTAACATCTGTTGATAGAGATTTCAGATGACAAAGGGCCACTTCTCAGTGGTGAGAGCAAATGAGATCAAATCTCAGTGGTGAGCTCTCCATTACTGTGACCAAATGAATCTGTATTTGCTTAATCCAGCAGCATCATTTCTTTACTCCAAGGGTGAGTGGCAGAGGTCCCCATGGGAACTCAGTGACCCTGGAGTAAGGGGCAGTGCCGGGGAATAAACAACCCACAGACCAGAAACCACATAAAGCTCAAGCTCCCATTCCTGCACTCCCTCTCACCTCCCCCAGCTCCCTGTACCCACCATTTCCACAATCACTACATGATTCCTGTTCCTGTGACAACCCTGTTCTCCGCTGTCAGCTGAGAGCCTCTGCCTCAACAACACCCCCTCCACCCAGATTCTGTCCACCTAAGTCCTGCCTCAGTCTGGGTCTCACTTCCTCCAGGAAGTCTGCCTTGATTCCCCAGGCTAGGTGTTCTTAGAGTTCCTGGATCTTGCCCCATCACTCAGTCTGGAATTCTCCCTGCACATCTGCAGCATCTATAGGGCACATCCCTGATTCCTTCACCTATCTCCAATCCTGTACACGTCATGGACATGCAGACAGTGGAGCACAGGGGTCAGTCAGCAGGTGAGGGGCTGGCAGGCCTGTGCACATCTGGCCGTGTGAAAGAATATCCAGGTGATGTCAGCCAGGAAAACATGTAGGCCCTAAATGAGGCCCCGTCCATCAGGCTGGAGGAGCAGGCTCAGCACATGGTGGTGCTTAGTAACAGTACCTGCTGTGTCATCACCATCATCTCATGATACCCAACTCCCTAAGCTCAGCCCTCAAGGGCAGAGCAGCAGACCCCACGCAGTTGGGACCAGCACCGTGAGAATGCACAGATGACTCCAAGCCCCACTTGCCAGGCGTCACACTCCTGAGCCTCGGTCCCCTCACCCATAAAGTGGGGCAGCGGATGGCAGCAGGGAGGCCTGCAGGAAGGACTAGCCTGAGGCACAGGATGGAGCCCGCAGGGCCTCTCACCACGGTGGCCAACACACCCTCAGTCTTCCACCAGCCCCACTCAGAGCTCCTGAGGCTCAGCCGGGGTTCCTGCAGGCCACCCCTCAGCAGCCCAGAGGGGACACTCAAGACGCAAAACATACCCCACAGCTTGGGAAAACGTCCTAAACACCACACATTCCCTCCCCGTGCTTCCTCCCAGTGGGAGGAGCTGCCTGATTGGGAGCTGCCTGATTGGATCCCAGTTATTACTCCTGCTGGCCCAGACCCTGGGTGCGCAGGACCGTCGGGGTGGAGGACCACCCTCCCTGACTGCCCTCTTCTTCTCCCCTGTCTGTCAAGAGCCCCCCAGGACAAACCCGCACAAACCCATCTTACCCAGATGCCTTTTCAGCGTGGGCATCAAAGCAGAACTCATTTGAGGACTTTCCTTATGAGCTGGGACCAATTCCCATGGCCCTTCAGCCATAATGAATTGACAGGAATTCTAAACCCATGCCAGCCTAAGGACACTGTGACAGAGCTAGAGCTACTTCATGGCAAGTTACATGTCAGAGGTTGGTTAAAAAGCTGCCTCTTTACCCAGGGCTGGGCCACCTCTGGGCTTTGTCCTTTGGGCAGCTGGCCCGCCTCAAAATTCCCAGCAAATGGCTTAGATACACGCTCCCAGCACAGGCCTGTCCCGAGGCCCTGCTCCCTGGGCCTGCAGCCCTGTCCACTGGGGACTGTGACCCCAGAGACACCCCCCAACAAAAAAGCCCACCCTGGTGCCAGCTCTGAGAAAGAAGGCCCTGGCATCACGACGCAGAGAAACACACCTGTCTCGAGGTCTGTCAGGCGCAGGGTGAAGTCGAAGCCACCGCTGAGGATGCGCCGGCCGCAGGGAGACCAGCGGGCTGCCCGCACCGCCTCGCTGTGCAGGTGGTAGGTCTGCAGGCAGCTCCCCGAGTCCACGGCGTTCCACACCTACGGGCGACACAGCCAGACGTCACCGCAGGCCCAGCCTCCAGTTCGGGGGGCCTTGAGGTGGAACGAGGGTCCCATTCTTTTACCTCAAGACAATATGTGTACACTCAACGAGTCCTCAGAGAAGTGGAAAATGGGTGGGTTAAGAGGACCCCTTCCCCACAGTTTTCCTGGGGTTAAGGGAGCCCACAAGAAAACAGCATTTCAAATACGACAGAAAAGTCAAAGAGGACATCCAGAAGGCGTGGGGGCATGCCCCACCGCTCCCAACGGGCGACGCAGATTAGGGTCACAGTGCACCACCATCTCACACAGTGACTAGGGCAGAATAAAGAGCCCCCAACAGCAAGGGCTGAGAGGGCGCAGAGGGAGAGGGACCCTATTTACACGTTGGTGGGAATGCGAACTGGTCGGCTAGTGTCGAATGGACTCTGCGTTTATCTTTAAAAAACTAAAAATGGGGCCTCTCTGGTGGCTCAAGGGGTTAAGCCACAACCTATGAAGCTGTCCACAGCCTCCACAGCACAAGTTCGATCCCTGGCCAGGGAGCAACCCACACAGCGCAGCAGACCTCTCCCGACTCGCCTGCTGCTCCCCTCAGCAGTGTACTTCAGTCAGTCTGCCGGTTCTGTTCCCCACTGTGTCTCTGGTGAATCCTTTCACCCTCCCGCCCAACACTTCTGGCCTGTACCCCGGTTCTTGTATGCATAAATAAATAAATGTTAAAAAATACACAACTAAAAATGGAAATGCAGTGGGCCTGGCATCCCTCTCATGGGCATCTATGCAAAGAATGTAACACAGTCAGGACAGAAAGAGAGGCACCCCGCAGAGTCCGCAGCAGCACCCCTCACCAAGGCTGGCCCTGGAGCAACCTGAACGCTCAGCCACGGGCACCCAGATGGAGAATGCGCGGTGGCTCCACACGCGGAATACTGCTCAGCCACGGGGAAAGGCAAAACACCGCCCCTGCGCGCAACATGCAGAGTCTGCAGGAACTGCGTGGAGTGAAGCAAGTCAGAATGATAACATGAAATGCTGGGCACTTACACAGCAGACAATTCAATAAGGTAAAACACAAAAATCAGAGGACACCGATAAGCACTGAGGGCTCTGAGGTTAAGAGGGAGGCACGGGGGCGAGTGGGGGGATTAGAGGGGTGCAGCAAGAAAACCCACATTTCTCCACCTGCCCCTGGCACCTGCCCACACCTGTTACACCAGAGCTCCATCACAGCCTCTCCCAGCGTGGCCCTGTGTCCCAAGAAGGGTCTTTCTGGGTCCTGGAGTGGACAAAGCCCCAGCAGGGGTCTTCATGGTCCCTCAGAGACCTTGCCTCTCCGTTTACAATCAGGCAAGGAACAAGATCTGCCTGGGGGGCAAGTTGTCCTTTCTCTGGGAGAGAAGCTACTACCATCCACTGTCCTGGCTTCCCACGGGCCCTGAGGCAGGGCAGAGGCCTGGGCTGCTCTTGAGGACTGCTCTGAAACACGTTTGGAAGCCCCATCGGAGAGCCAGGACCATGGGTGAGTGGGGCAGGGTGGCCCCACCTGCTTTCCCAGGGTGGAGTTGAGGGGCTGGCCCGGGGCCGGTATGGATGCCCACGTGGATGTTCAACAGAGTTGGGCTCCTACCTTCAGTGTTGCTGCCGATAGAAAAGGGGTATCCCATCTCCCTCTGGGGTGGCTCTGAGAAATGAAGGTGAGGAGCAGGAAGGGTACTGGCAGCCCCCCATACTCCCCTCTTCCCAGTCAATGGGCCCCTGCTGTATGCTGTGGCTTTGGAGCAGCTGGGCCTCTGCAGACCCCTCCACTGCCTCCTCCATACGCGGTGGGGCGGGCGGTTAAGAAGAGCACTGTCCCTGGCAGTGGTGAGACAGGACAGAAGATTGACCTCGAAGCTCCGTGCCTGGCACAGAGCCCAGTGCTCTTGGTACCCAAAATCCCTGTCCCTCCCACCCTCCCTCACTACATCAGTGAGCCTAATAAACACACTGTGCACACCCAGGAAGCAGATCCTGGAGCAGATCTTCCTCCCAAGCTGAAAATGCACCAGGCCCCAGAGCTTCCCGGGAATATGTAAATGTCTCCACTTAAGAAAACAAGAGGTCGAGAGCCGACTGCTGAGAAAGCTCAATGCCTTCCTTCTTTATTAGGGGTCAACAGCTGAGGTCGAAGACTGAAAAACCGAGAAGTAGCCGTATTTACATTGGGAAATAGAGGCTGAAATAACAGGAAGCAGCCCGAGGACTGCGAGAGAGCAGGTGTCACGTGGAGGGCTGTGCTCCGCAGTGCTGAGTGCAAGTGAGACTTACCAAGAACAAGTAAAGTCAAATCAATGATCTAGAGCTACGGGGTTAATAGACACAGAAAAAAGATGCTGAGCGCGTAAGACAAGCCGCACGGACACCGCGGGGCACCCCAGTGGCGCCAGTCAGGGGGCTCCTGCCAAAGACAAGGACAAGCAGTGAGGAGAGGATTTGGGCCAGGCACTGCTGGCGGGAGTGATAGGGGGCGCCATGGTGGAGAACTGCAGGACAGCGTCTCAGAAATGCAACACGGACTCACAGTGTCTCCAGCCACCCCACTGTGGGGTTACACCCCACAAAGTGAAACCAGAGTCACCAATGTTCACAGCAGCACTATTCACAGGGGCCAAAAAGTGCAACCCAAGTGCATGTCGATGGGCGAGTACCAGCCCCAAGTGGCATCTTACCCACCTCAGAAAGGAGGGCGATCCTGACAGCCACCCCAGCATGGATGAAGCCCCCGTGGCATTCCACAGGATGGCCAGTGTGATAACCCAGACCCAGAAGGTCAAATACCACATGATTCCTCTTACGGGAGGTCCCTGCAGTCATCAGAACCATGGAGAACCGAAGTAGAGGGTAATACCAGGGCTGGGGAGTAAGGGCAGGGGCAGAGCTGTTTAAAGGGGGCAGTGGCTCAGCTTTGAAAGATGAAGAGTTTTGAGAATGGAGTTTGAGAGGCCACACAGCCAGTGAGTGAGCTTGATGCCTCTGAAGTGGTTCTGATGTTGATTTTTGGAGTCAGTGGGTTTGGAGTGCGGGGTCCTTGGGGTCACTCTGGGAAAGTTGTCACCAGAGCTCCCCTTTCAGCGGCACGCGGTGAGTTTCCCAGACGAGTTTCTCCATGAGACAGAGACATTGGTTATATGTTGCATCACGCAACACCACACTGACAAAGACATGGGAGTCGTGGAGCAGGCTGCACAAGGCAGGATGCTGCTGAGAGCAAGATCCTGGCCGTTTTTATTGATAGAATAATCATACAGCATCAGCTCCATGCGTTTGGAGGACAAGGAGAAAAGGATAGGGGACACTCAGAAATGTTATCTAGGGCTTGGGGGACACGAGTCTGCTGACCATGTTATGAGCTTGATGACCAAGTCTTGTAATTATCCCAGACCCCCAGCCATGGTCCTAATCTTATCAACAAGGCATGCAACTGATCAGCTTCTGGGGTCCCTTGTCATACATCAGTCCTCGGCCCCCCGGGCATTCCCGGTCATATCTCATGATGTATAAGTCAGGAGTAAGTTTATGCATCCGTCCTCAGCCCCCCGGGCATTCCCAGTCATACCTCTTGATGCGCACCCTTCCCAGGGTGATCAAGCTTTCTGCTCCTGATGGATATGAAAAGTGCCTTGTAAGGTTTGGCTCATGGGACTGTGACTGGACAGTTCTGACCTTTGTATAGGAATGCAGAACTGTAGGTAACCATAATGGTGGCTGAACAGGCCGCTTACGTCTAGCAGATCCACAGTTACATTTAAAGGGCCAGGTTTATTAGAAAAGGGACAGGACAGTAAAAGACACTTGCATAGACACAAGCGGACAGGAAGAGCTGCTCCGAAAGGGAGAGGTTTGCTGAGAGGCCTGCCTGGTTGCAGGCGGGCGGCCCTGAGAACGGCCTCCGCTGAGGGAGGTCAGTGAGGAGAAGTCCTGGCAGGTACAGGTCACGGGCAGACAGGAGGCTGCTGCCCTACAGAGGGAGAGAGTTGGTGAGAAGAGGCAACTGCATATGCACGGGTGGGCGGTGGGAGTGCTGCCCTGAGCCTGTGCAGAGACTGCCCTGATACAGTCCTTTCCTCTTTGGGAGGGGTCACTCCTCTGTGGAGTAGCTGCTTGTTGCTGATGTTGGGACCGGAAATTCCAGGGAGGCCCAATCTCCTTATCTTTCCCCTGAGGTCTATGCCCCACTCCCTAAGAGCATCTGGTCCTGCTTGGTCTCCTGCCTTGTGATAAGACACTGGCACCTAAGGGTCATGGTCATGTTAATCCCCTCTACCCCCACCTCCTTGTGTGAGTCAGGTTCTGGTTTTGTGGCACCTCCTTTCCGGTTTTTCCACTCCTGTCCTCCATCAGTTACAAATGAAAAATTAAATGTGGTCAAATATTTCAATTTAACTCATTCATTTATTCATTCAACAAACACTTCCTGACTACCTGCTACTAGCCAGGCATGTGCTCAGCAGTGAACAAATCAGACAAGACCCTCCCCTCAGAGACCCCACATTCTAGAGGGGGAGGCAGACACCAAACAAGGCAGGCAGGCATATTCCAGGAGGCATATAAGGAGCAGGCTGGTCAGCAGAATAGCCGGATGGCCGTGGGAAGGGCCTCTCCAAGCAGAGGCCTTGAGGGAAGAGCCTGCGTGAGAGAGGGGGCACTGGAAACCAGGGCAAGAAGCTTCCAGGCAGGATCAGGGCCACTCTGACACGTGAGGGAGAGGGAGGGGCGGGCAGTCAGGGGAGAGAGGAGCGGGCTCAGGCCAGCCCAAGGCTGTGGGCAAGAGCCCAGCTTGGAAAGTTTCCTCGGGTGAGGATGGTCCAGGAGGACTCCAGGGTTTGAGTCGAGCACTGAGAGGGAAGGACGATGACTAAGGCAGGGAGGCCAGGAGTGGGCTTGGAGGCCAGGGCAGCAGTAGGCACAGGGCAAGGCTGTGCCGTGGCTACCGTCACGGAACACCCCACATGCGA